CAATGACGGCGTGTCAGGCCTTTCCACCTCGAATTCTTGGGCTAATTCTGTGTATCCTATAAGTATAGAAGTGTTACAAAGTTTAGTCAAAAGTTACAAAAGTCTTAAATTAATTCATACAGTATTTTATGCTATTTTTTATGACATACCCGGGGGTCGGACTACTCTGACGGGCTCTTCCATAACCAATGGGTCGCTGAGTCCCACTTCATTGCGGGCCATAATTCTCACTAAATATTCGTGTCCTTCCTGTAAGTCCTTGATTTGTATACTGTTGTTGTCTATAATGAGGAAAAGAAACAAAAGCCTGAATTCACTCAAACATTCGATGACCTCTTTGTCGAGGAAGAGTCCGATATAACACTGTCTGTCAAATATACGGGTCATCCAAAGCCACGCATAAATTGGTTCCGAAACGACAAATCAATTAAAACATCGAAATCAATGGTTCAAAGAGAGGACGACAATGAGAGCACTCTTACGATCAATAGTGTGTCGAAAGTGAATCATTCGGGAGTTTATAAATGTGTTGCCATTAATCCGATCGGAAAATGTGAACATTCGGCTCAAATCAGAGTGATTTCCAAAGAGTTGAGATTTATTGAAAGATTACAAGAGACCGAAGTCCAAGAAAATTGCAAAACATTATTAGTGGTGAAGATATCGAGTGATGAGGAAGACGTCCGCTGGCATAAAGACGGCGAACCCGTCGATGAAACGGACACTAACCTCGAATTTATTAAAGAAGGCTTTTATCGAAAACTATTGATTAAAGAAACTCATGTCCATAATGAAGGCGAATACACATGTGTTTTGGGCAAAGATAATGAATGTTCAGCCGATCTCATAGTTATAGAACTTCCGCCAAAAATAATCTCTGAATTAGAGGACAAAAGTTGTGTTTTCGGACAAACGGCTAATTTTAATATCGAGTTATCAAAAGGCGATGCAATCGTTAAATGGTTTATGATCTCATAGTTATAGAACTTCCGCCAAAAATAATCTCTGAATTAGAGGACAAAAGTTGTGTTTTCGGACAAACGGCTAATTTTAATATCGAGTTATCAAAAGGCGATGCAATCGTTAAATGGTTTAAAGATAACAAAGAAATACAATTTGATGATAGAATTGAATTAAAAATTGATGGCAAACAACAGGAACTGATTATAAGAGATGTCAACACAGAGGATGAAGGGATCTATTCATGTATTTTGGGTCAACAGAGATATACGGCTAACCTTACCGTTGAACCAAAATCAACAGAATTCACTCTACGATTAGCAGACACTGTATGTATTGATGAAGACAATGACGTCGAATTCAATGTCCAATTATCTCGATCCGGGGTTTCTGTCAAATGGTTTAAAGACGGAAAACCGATCAGAAAATCAAAGTCTAATGTAATTGAATCAAAAGAAACAAAACATAAACTAATCATAAGAAATGCAAAACCAAATGATTCGGGAGAATATACTTGTGTTGCAAATGGAGACCAAACAAGAACTCAATTACAAGTGAACGAAGATTTGGCAGAATTTAGCCTCAAATTGAAAGACATATTCGTGAAGGAGGGCGAGACGGCTACTCTTTCTGTAGAAGTGGCCAAACCTTCACATAAAGTCGAGTGGTTTTGCGACGACAAGAAAGTGGTTTTGACGGAGAAATCAATTCTAATAGAAGAAGGAATTCATCGAAAACTCGTTCTCAATGAATGCACTCTCTTTGACAAAGGGATATATAGTGTGGTTTGTAAGGATAAGAGGAGTATTGCCAAATTGACGGTTGAAAGTGCGCCCAGAATTCTCACTCAAAAGAGACAGTTTACGGCTAAAAGAGATGAGAATTTCATACTTGAAATCCAATTTGATGGATACCAACCACCAAAGGTCGAGTGGTTTTTTGCTGATAAGGCATTGAAAACATCTAAAAAGCTGGCGATCGAGGCTTTGATGTCTAAGACATTGTTGACAATTAAGAAATTTGATGACTCGGATGTCGGCAATTATAGACTAAGACTTAAGAACAATATCGGCGAATGCAGTGAAGAGTTCAGTCTTTCGATTATAGACAGACCCGAACCGCCCGGAAGACCACAGGCTTCAGAAATCACAAATAAATCACTGGTTCTCAGTTGGCCTGAACCCAAAAACAATGGTGGCTCTGAAGTGATCAATTATATCATTGAATTCAGTGATAAAAAGTCTGAGATTTGGAAGATATATAACGAGACCTTTAAAGTTGTCGACAAGAATATAAAGATTGAGAAATTGAAACAAGGAATGGAATATACATTCAGAGTAACGGCAGTTAATGAAGTGGGAAATAGTGATCCCTCGCCTATCAGTCAGAACATAGTGATAAGGGAATCAAAAAGTGGCGAAAAGCCGGTTGTTATCGAAGAGCTGAAACCAAACGTGAGTTCGGCACCAAAAACAGAGGTTAAACTCGAGTGCAAAATAACGGGACAACCGATTCCTGAAGTCAAATGGTTTAGGGATAGTGAAGAGCTGGTGGTAAACAAAACAATGGACATAACGTTTGAGAAGCAAACGGCAACTCTTATTATAAAAGAAGTGCAACCAAAGAGCGCCGGACTGTATGTCTGCAAAGCAAGCAATCCTTTGGGAAGCGCTCGGACACAGTCTACACTTAAAATAGAGGAAAAGCCGAGCGCTATATTTGACAAGAAATTATCATCAATGATATTAAGACCAGGGTCAAACTATCGCATTGATGCAGAGGTCAAAGGCTATCCTAGTCCTCAATGTATTTGGACTAAAGATCAAAAAGTATTTGATTCATTGAAACAGATTCGGGTGAAAACTATTGACAACAAAACTTCATTAGAAATAAAGACTATTCAAACAGAAGATTCAGGCGTTTATAGTCTGAAACTGACCAATGAATTGGCAGATGTTTGCTATGATTTTGTATTAAAAGTATTGGACAGACCCGGATCACCTGATGCACCGGTAAGGGCTCTCAATGTGGAGGAAGATTGTGTCGAACTGTCGTGGAAACCACCCAAAGATGACGGCGGCTCTCGAGTCACACATTATTTGATTGAAAAGTGCGAAAAGAAGACTAATCTGTGGAAAGAAGTCATTAAAATCGACTCAAAACTACTCATCCAAAGAGTGGATCGTTTAGTTTGTGGCGAAGAATACCTGTTCAGAGTCTGTGCTATCAATGAGTTCGGCAAAAGTAATGCCACTCTTTCACAACCAATTGTCTGCGAAAGTCCTTTCGGTTTGTTTTCATTTGAAATTTAACTTAATCACCGAATGACCTGTCTTATTATACTATACTATATTCTACTAGCACACAATACTATGTTCAATTCAATGATATTTAGGTTTCCGAAACGGCATGTAATGGTTAATCAATTACAGTATATTGCAATTTGCAGTGCACAAATTTTGCACCCATTCTCACAAATAAAAACTTTTTTACTGCATTTTACACTTAACTCTTTACATAGAAAATGCAATATTCACTCATTTGATATATGGCCATACTCAATTTATATATATCTAATACTGCATAAAGCATTACTGTACTTATATCATATAAAAACACGTTCTTTTGACCCATTATCAGAGAATTTCATAGTATTTAGTGCCGTAGGACTGTAATCGATAATTATTATAATTTATATAAATAACAATTAATATTACTTTAAATTTGCTTAAAAATCAGACAAACCCTCTGCACCTTTGGGTCCACTCCTGACATCTAATAATACCGAAGACTCGTTTACATTGAGTTGGAATCCTCCAGAAAGTGACGGAAATTCACCGATTCTTGAATATATTGTCGAGAAAAAGGAGAGCGACAAAAAAGTGTGGCAAAAAGTTGGATCAGTTGATGGAAATAAGCAGTCCATAGACGTTATCAATTTGAAGAAAGAGACGGCCTATCACTTCCGCATTACCTGCAGAAATAAAGTGGGAACAAGTCTTCCGTTGGCACCCGAGGAGACAATTACACCGAAAGGCAGATATGGCGCGCCTTCTATGCCGGGACGACCACTTCAAGTGACGGCAATGACAAACACTTCACTGACCCTATCGTGGGACAGACCCCTATCGACAGGTGGTGTCGAACTCACCGCTTATATACTCGAAAGAAGACTAGTGTCTGAAAGCAATTGGATTCGAGTCGATACCATTGATCCGGATATCACGAGTTATACCGTTGAAAACTTGTCGGCAAAACACGAATACTTTTTCCGTGTTATCGCTGAAAATCCTTTGGGACGCAGTCCTCCTCTCGAGACAGAGACAGCACTGAAACTATCGCTCACTGCAGCCCAACCGGGCATTCCTACCGGTCCTCTTGAGACACGAGTGGTGGGTCCGAGTGCTATAGTAGTGGAATGGGGCAAACCCGAGACCGATGGGGGCGCACCTATACTCAGTTATGTGGTGGCGGCCAGAGATGTGAGGAGAACAATGTGGATGGAGGTATGGCACCGGCTCTCGACATAGATTATACATTCAATAGTAGTACAGCTTTTTGTTTCAATGTCTGTCCTCACAGGTGGGTCACGTGAGTGCCGATACTCAACGGTTACAAATCAAGGACTTACAGGAAGGACACGAATATTTAGTGAGAATTATGGCCCGCAATGAAGTGGGACTCAGCGACCCATTGGTTATGGAAGAGCCCGTCAGAGTAGTCCGACCCCCGGGTATGTCTTTGCAAATCACTATATTTTCACAATTTATAAGTAATTTCTCATCATTTCATATACAGTACTGTAATTTACATTCTGTACAGTATTTATTAAAAATAGCATCAAATACTGTATGAATTAATTTAAGACTTTTGTAACTTTTGACTAAACTTTGTAACACTTCTATACTTATAGGATACACAGAATTAGCCCAAGAATTCGAGGTGGAAAGGCCTGACACGCCGTCATTGAGTTTCACGACTACCGAAACCTCTTCCTCTTGGATGAGAGAAGCAAATGTGGAGCCATTGGTCTCTTCCTATACGAGACATACATTGATTCAAAGGAGGGAATACTTCTTCAAACTATGGTTCCATTCCGACACTCTCTTCAAGTGAATCCATTCAACAAATCTATTGTGATATTAATTATGAAATACTTTTTGGTTAAACCCATCAACAGATCCTAATTTATTTAATTATATATTTGACTTTAAAGACATAATTATTAAACAAACTTAAATTAATTGATCCGAACTAAGACTATCCGATAAATCATTATAATTATTATGAAACTATAAACCTATAACTATACACTTATTCTTATGTGTATTCTTCACATAACTTATTAACAAAATAGTTTTGTTTTATTTTATTGTTATTTAAATATACAGATTATGTTATATTAATAATTAATTATAGTTATGTTTATTGTTAATAATTAATAGTTTATTCATAAATCAATAAAAATAATATATTTAGTCATTAAATAAACAGCAATGTATTATGAATTAATTTTTGTAACAACTGTCAGTCGTTAATACCTGTGATTGCAGTGACTGACAGTGTTATCGTTATTTTGGTCACATTTATTGCATTCAAAGTTTCTAATTCTAAATTCTAAATTAGTAGAGAATTCTGTAGTCGCTATTATCAATGATAATTTATTGTATCATAAATACAGTGCAAACTCTATAATACAAACTCTTGAGCTAAAGGAATATATAATATCTTACATCAATTAGTTGACAAAGTTTTAAACTATTATTTTAATTATTTATTGTATATATCGCAATATAAAAATTCAATTACAGCCAAATTACGGTATATTGTTTTGTCTGATATTGTATAATTTGTAAAACTCATATTAAGGTAGCAACTGATACAGTATTACGATTTCTATCATATACAGTAGGTACAGTATTGTCATTTTAACTAAACTTAATACAAAAATATAATTTAAAACATCAATGATATCTTAGAATTTATATTTTATGGATAACTAATCGTCAATTTTATTCAATTATCGTAAATTTAAAAAATGTAACAAAAGCTAATTTAAATCTATAAAATATTGTCATAAACCTGTATTCAGATTTGTCAAGTATTAAAAGTAACAAGGGTAATGTAATTATACGATTATGTGGTTTGCATATCACTAGACATGTCATTATTGGGAACTTTTCTTGCATTTGACAAGTTGTCGATCACTTGGATTCAAATCATCTCTCGTTTGACAGAACTCTTTAGGGATTTTTGGAAAATCGTTTAGTATTTCATCGATTTGTTGGTCAGAAAGTGCTTTCAGTTTATTCAATGACTCTTCAAATACGGAATTGTATTCATTTCTCTCCGTTTCACATAAACTCAGCAATTGTTTGAAGTTATCCTAAAAGACATTAAGGAATACATAAAAATGATGGCAATGGAGGCTATCATATGGTTGACATACCTGTGAGCCGTCATAATTCAAAACACCGACACAACTGACATAACCCTTCTTCTTGCAAATGCGGCCCAATTTGTATCGATTTAATGCAAACACAATAGGAATGCCATTGTTTTGAGTGATGCTAATCAAAGCGGAGAGACTGTCGTCGAGACCGCCTCTGCTCTCAATCTTCTCGATGTCGGGAGCGATGACTAAGAGTTTAATTTTGTTGATATTCGCATATTTGGTCACTTCGTTGAATCCAAAAGTTAATCGTTTCCTAGTCTTTGCTTTAATGGGATCTTTAGAGAACATTCTGTCCTGAAATAGCACTAAATCACTCAATAGGTTGACCACCAATTGGTCGATACTTTGGGTCAATCGCTGGCAACAGTATTCACGATAAGCTTTAGTGTGAAGTAATTTCTTATTAATTGTCTCCAAATCATGGCTTCCGTCACAAGATCTCAAACTTGAGTCTTGTGTCTCAACCAAACCATCCCTTTCTTTGTTGATAATCCTCTTAAGAGTCGTCGGTTTCTTTGCTTTCGGATTCTCTCTCTCTTTACCTCTTTTCCGTGTCGGCGCTGAAGAGTCCAGTGTATTGTGTGGTGTTTCGTGTGTTTGCACTTTCTTGGGATGAGTTGATGATGTCTTCTGACTTGGTTTAGGACTCTTGTCATCGATTTTGAGTTTTTCGGTAATAAACTGTTGAAGTGTTAGAACCGATGGCTTTCCAGAAGTGGACTTCCAGTCAGTACTAGACTTCTTATTTCGGATCACTTTCTTGTCGTTCGCACCAGAAGTGGAAGCACTGGACCTCACAGTTGGCGCTTCCTCTTCATAAGTGGTGTGTCTGTGAGGACCGGCTGTGTCTTGACTGGTGTTATGGGGGGCGCGGGGTATGAATGTGGGCGCAGACGGGTTCAGATCAGTCCAGTCCTGACACCAATACATCACATTAACACCAGTTTTACATTTAATCACTGTTTTACTTACCAA